TAAACAAAATAATACAAATCCATTAAATACTTGTATGCTTGTAAGACAATATAATAGGCACAAATACAAAGCTCTAAACAAATTAAATCATATAGACCCAAAAACACAGCCAAAGTAACTACAGTATAAACCTAATAGCATTAGCTACCGTTCTCGTATTTAGAATATTTGTAAAAAATATAGGTATTATATTAATTAATAACCAAGAACATTTAATAACTAAAACACAATTGATGAAAGACAATGGACTTGAACACTCACTAAGCCATGACGACATAAAAATAAATACCCACAATGAAAAACTTAACAAAAAAATATATTCTTTTATCTGGATCCTTTTATCATCGAAGGCGGTGCTGAACTGTATAGGATCCGAGCCCAAAACGAAATTGATTTCGATAATATAACCTATTGTTTCGGATCACAAAAAGATTATAAAGTAGAAGGCGTTTTCAATGAGGAGACCGAAGAACGAATGCTTAATGGAAGGCAGTGTTACCAGCAAACTTTTAGCACATCCACTAACTGGAGCTTCTAAAACCATAACAAAATACCAGCAATTTTTAGACCTAAATAAATATTCAATATTTATGTCTATACCTATACATAATACGTATAGGTAAAACTAAGTCCACACGCCGCGTCGTCTGTATGTTAGCGACGATCTCGAAAACTACTGAGTGGATTTTCAGGCGGTTTTCATTACTTAATAGAAAAATTCTTAAAGAAGGTTTAAGTGTTTCATTCTTTAAGGTTAAGCCGGAGAGGGTTTTTATATAGGCATTCGAAGTTAACAATAAGTCAAAATATTTTTTGTCAGGAAAGTTAAATATTCACTAAACTCTTCCAATAAATAACTTATCAAATGAAATGTAACCTTGTAACTTTAAGCCATCAAAAACAAATATTACCCACAAAGAGCGGCACAAAATAACCAGTTCAGTGGTAAACCCAATAAGGTGGCAACACCGATGGAAGGCTATCTCTATTATAAGAATTAGACGCAATAATCCCTAAATGTAGAACATTATCTACGTGTAATTTCGTAATGTAATGTTCCAACAAACAAATTTTATATAGATAATGTTTCGGTCACGTGTAACAGAGGGGTCACTGATTGTTATTATTTGATCTCTATCCCCCTTTGCTCCTTTATACAAATGTTATGCTATATTACAACCTTTGATCGATAAATGATAGATTTGTGAGAACACTTTAGTGTAAATAGTTTCGATTTGAAGTTATATTTTTACATTACATTCTTTTCAAGCCTTTGATTTCCCATATATATATTATACAAGATTTTTTTTTATTTAATATTTTACGGCTCTGGATACAAGTTCTTTTTAGCCCAACATAAAATACAAAAACTTACCGGTGTGTTTACACACCATGTTATAGCATTCCTCGATAAATGGACTATCTACTACGCTAAAAAAATCTTCAAAATCAGGTCAATAAATACACAGAAGACCCTGCAACCTCACAAACTTTACCTCTATAATATTACCATAGATTGCGACAACTATTTTTTTTATATAAGTCTATAACCTCACAAACTTTACCTCTTTATAATATTACTAGCTACTCGCCCCGGCCTTGCCCGGGTGTACATGTATTATACATATAACCTTCCTCTTGAATCGCTGTATCTATTAAAAAAAAACGCTGCAAACTCCGTTGCGTATTTTTAAAGATTTAAGGGACAGACAGCGAGAGCGACTTAATTTTATACTGTGTAATGATGATGAAAACTTTTTTTTAATAAGTGGTCAAGTAAAATTATGGCAAATATATTAACAACAGGTTTGCCGGGGACAAGATTGACGTTGAGAGGATGCGAGAGCATGACATCAGCGCTATCTGGGCCGTCCGCCCACCACTAGCCATAGTTCACCGACACCGTCTAGACGAGACCGGACAATTGGTATCTAACATCTATAGCCATCTGCGTATGCGCATCTATGGAAGTGCAAGTTTAACTAACTCACTAATTTTATAAACGCGGAAGTTTGTGAGTATAAATGAATGGATAAAAACTACTGAATGGTATAGTAGTAAGTGTTAAAAAATCTAAACTAACATGCAAGTATTTCGAAAACTCTCCTTATCAACTTCCGTCATTACCTCACGTCAACTTTACACAAGCCCAACTTAGACACCGCAAACACTTACAATTCCGTGTTACAGTACAGACGTATTCTCGCCTCGAGACCATATGGGGCGAGCGATTTTAATGAGCACCACAAATGAGGGAAACAAAGGCACCGAAGAGCGCTAAGTTATCTACTTGTATGGCATTTGAATGGCGAACATTCGTCCGGGAATGTTTGTTTTTCATATAATTGTAGAATATAAATAATCATTATTCAAATAAACTCGACATTAAATATTTTGACTAAATAAATAACACTTGACAATTAACACAGCGCCATCTAGTCCCACGGTATGCAGAGCTTGTGTTATGGTTACAAGACAACTGATATTAATACTTAGTTTTCTTTTTCTGGAAGAAGCTAGACCACCGAGGCGGTGGCGAGACGGCCTCGGTGGTCTAGCGGTTTAGCATACAGCTTTACTCCCGATGGTCGCGGATTCAATTCCTCACACGTAACAAACATTCGTATTCATAACTATGATTGTTTGTATCAGTCAGGGCGTTTTATAAGATAATTTTTTTTTTAAATATATCTATGTATTTAATATATATCAGTTATCTAATGCCCATAACACAAGTTTTAGCTAGCGTAACTTGGGTCTAGATGCCGCTGTGTGAATTGTCATGAGATAAAAAAAATGGCAAAATTGTTGCACGCCAAAACAATGACCAATATGTGGACTGTTTTATTAATAGTATCATTTTTTTATATTTATACCATATTTCATGCAAATAAATATATTTCAAAGCACTAGAATAGAAGCAGACTTTTTATTCTTTAAGTCTGTTACAAATAACATAATGGCGGACCCATATCGATAAATAGATACGAGTAGATACTGATATCGACATACAAAACCAAGCCAATTGTGCGCCTGAGCACATGGCAGGAACCGTTACTTTTAAATTATACTGCGTACCCACAGGGTTATAACGCCCATTCGTTAGGGTTGTCAGTTAAACTTAATTTTTAATGTTAATTGTTTTTTAAATTCACCAATTGCCTTGTAACTTAGTAATACTCTCTATTATAGGTATATTAGTAGCTAGGCTAACAACCTATTATCAAATCTAACAAATCTATTCTATTCTATTCTATTCAAATACTGTACAGTATACAGTCGAGATTTTTATACATTTCATTAAAAAGTTCTACTTTACCTGTAATTCTTCCTTGGACTTATTTAAAATATATAAAATAGTCATTTCATAAAAAAAATGTGAGAGCAAGTGAAACTTTTTAATGTATTTTATTTATATAATTTTGTAATTGGAATTTTATTATTTCAGTTTATGGGAATTTTATTTTTTTATATAAAATGTAATTTTCCACAGATTGAAACAAATTTAAAGTCTGTTAAGTATAGGATGATTTTTTTTAATAAGCGATATCCTATACCGTTCAGAATGCAATCTATCTTTACATTAAATTTTAATAGAATCTGTTCAGACGTTTAATCTGAAAAAGCTAATAAATAGCCAGACAAGCTAACAAGCAGAAATTATTAGATCAAATTAAAATATTTCTAAGAGTGTAAGAGATATTTTTGACAACCCTTGCACTGTATGAAATCAATTGGCGGGTTACAGGGTCGCATCGGACAGATGTCCACACCCCACAGTTATGAACCCAAGTGGGGCTCTAATTGTTTTGGCTTGTAAAAAGAAACACCCCATAAGGTTCTAAATATTTTTCTTACATACGATTACATTTATACTACAGAGTGTAGAATGTAGTTTTTTAAACAGAAATAATTTCTATTAGATTAAATTTAACATAAGCACTATTTAATAGAGTTGCTTATTTTTATATAGTATGAAATATTTGAATACTCGTTATTGTAGATATGAAAACGTTTGTGAAAAAAATTAAATAGACTTGCAAAAGGAATTTTTCTGTAGACATATTAATTTTCTTGTGCTCCTAATTCTTAATTGTTTTATACTGTTCTACATAACTTTATATATGTATGTATATGCGAAAAAAAATATCTATGTATTTGTATCAGTTATATAGTACCCATAACACAAGCTTCAGCCAGCTTAACTTGAGTCTAGATGGTTCTGTGTGAATTGTCCTGAGATTATTATTATATCTGTAACTTACTTTTATTTCCTTTTGAGAGCAGTACCGGAATGCAAATCTTCTTGCATCTCAAAATACTGGGTCTTTCAAGTCAAGAGTAAATATTCACTATTCGAACCTTCGAAACAGCGTCTAACAGTTCAGACTCATTCAACATCAACTTCAACTTTCGTGTTAAAATATATCGAATACGAGCTGTATCCGCGACTTCGTCCGCGTGGAATTTAACTTTATTTTTCTAAACTAAAAGAATTTCTCTAAAATAAAAGTCGGCAAGTTACTCCTTATTACATCAGCTACCTGTCAATAAAAGTCCCGTCAAAATCGGTCCAACCATTTCAGAGATTAGCCGGAACAAACAGAAAAACAGACAGACAGACAGAAATTGTAAAAAAAATATTTTGGTGTATATACCGTATTTATATTAGTATGCATGTAGTAAAAAAAACTGTTATTTCAATATTACAAACAGACACTCCAATTTTATTTATATGTATAGATGATACACTACGGCAGCTGTTGTCTTGCATTGATTTTATACGCCAGAACTTGTCGTAGAACTAATTGTGATTCACACAGACACTCCAATTTTATTTATATGCATAGATGTATATATGTAACAACATTTTATAATTTCAAACAGGTGATGATATTAATAATAATACGATAGCTATAAGCTTGTAAGTTAACACATACAATTCTCGCTCCTTGTACGGCCGTATAAGAATACAAAGGTCTCTTTAACATGTTACTTACTTGCAGAAGTATTCGCCTCTAGTTGTGGACAAGCAGGTTCCACTATTTTTGCACGGCGACGGCGAACATGACACGAAACCTGCAAAGATAAAACGAATAAACATGTATTTTTGTCAACACTATTGTGAACTCTTAGTATTAGAATTACGGATTTTTTTTATTAGCGGCCAAGAATGGACTAGCATACAGCGTCACATAGTCCTATGCTAAGCAGAGCTTGTCAAAACGGCACTAGACAACTGATATATAAATATATATATATAATTGTAGGAATATTTATGAATATACATAAATATATACTTATTTATGTATATTATAACATTATTTGCACCGCCAATAACTTATCTCTGCACAACTCATGGTTGACTGGTAGAAAATGCCATTAGGTGTTACGTCCGCCATATGTACTCGTTTACTTATGTATAATGTGCATTAAAGTTATTTAAATAAAAAAAAGTATACTTAAGTAACTTTTTTGTAAATATACACATAATATACATAGAAAATACCCAGACCAAATACAAACAATCATACTCAAGAACACAGATTTGATCATTTCTACCGTGTGAGGTACCAAACTCCGCGATCATCAGATATAAAGCTGTGTGCTAAACCTTAGACTAGGGGCGTTGATTATATCTTGCATGAATAATACAACTAAACTCAATGCAACAGTAAAGTAAACAAGAAACAAAGCATCAAGTATCGACAACACAATGTCATCAAAAACCCGTGTCACAAACGCTCCTGCAGCGTCGCTACGGAGAGAAAAAACATGGAACACCATGATCGATAGGTGACGCAAATCAATTCGTATCTCAAGATCAGAACACGGCCCGTTCTCTCGGCGACGTGATTGTAATCTCAGATATTTTTATCTCGAAAAATTAGCATAGATCAATGTGATAACAGTATTGCACTAAAACAGTTATGTATCTTTTAACGGATGTGATATGTTCTTCTTTTTATAGAAGTGGAATGGGAATAATCTATATCAGGGGTTTTCAAACTAGGGAACGAAATTCAGAACTGGCCCACCACTATACGGCCTGCGAGAGCTCAAGAGTAGTGTCATCCTAGAACGTGCACTTTGCAACAGCTTTCATTCATATTCAACATTCATTCTAAAGACTATTCTCTAGAAGAGCGGAAGAATGAAAGCTGTTTTAACCATTAGGATATGCTGCAAAACTCATTATGACCTAAGCCTAAAATTCGGAGTCCCTGATTTAAATGATGGAAATTGAAAATCATCATCATCATCATTTACATTAGTTAGTTTAATTCTACTACCATGAGCATGGGCGAGACCACAAATATTCAGTGCGGAAACCTGACCACTACTACTGGAAGCATTATTGTCTTTGCTGTAAGCGTTCTTCTCTATTAGCGATCAAATTTCGACTGTTATTAGATCTACATTAAAGTAAATTTTCGCTTCTTATCTAAGCATCATTAGATAATTAATAATAGTATCCCTGAACAATTCACACCTGCACACTTCAGCGCCGTCTAGTCCCAAGGTAAGCAGAGCATATGTTATGAGTACTAGATTACTTGATAAAATCAGTGTGTGTGTAAATACGCTTTACTATTTGACCAAAAAAGGAAAACGTGAAAAACAGCTTGTAACTATATCTCTATAAGGATAACATTCTATTTACTAGTCGACAGATTACTCTCGCAATTCGTAATCGATGCGAAAGTACATTAAATGTACATTTTATTCGATGTCTCAAGAGACGATCGATGCAACCCGATGTATCGATCAATCAGAATCGAGACCACCCAAATGGAAATTGCGGGGAACGGAAACATCGTACGCATGTATAATAAAAAAATCTCAAATAATAAATATTGGCAATAGTATTGATTTTGTAATCACCAAATATAAATATTTATGGGAATTTTTAACGTATTTTTTGGCTGTTTGCACTGCACTCACTGAAATGTAAACATTGGAAAGCTTGTCAAAAGACTTGTTGGAACGATTGCTCTATATGATAACAGAATATATTGCCGACAATTCACTTTATCTATTATATATTAACAATTTAGATTGATAAATTGATTAAAACACTTGAAATATATATCAGTTAAATCGTGCCAAATTACTATCCAACAAAACAAAATCTTTATTTACGGACGCAATAAAAATAGTACAGGTAGATATTGCATTAAAATTAATTACATTACCTAATTAGGCAGGTTTTCACAATAATTTAGATGTTTTTTTAAACTAGCAATATGCAAAGACACATTTCGATACAGCCAATGCGAATAACCCGTTACGAAATGAAATCGTGTGATAACTTATCACGGACCAAAATAAACATTCTCATTTGACGGACGCGCATGCGTGGGAACTGTATATTTTGACAGAATGTAAATAGAGATAATGTTTAAACAAGATATATTCTTACTTTTTATATGGGATCACTTATGTACTTCCTTGAACACCGCTCGGTGGAAAATAGGTATTTTGACACGTAATTTTCGTGTCTCTTTCGCTTGTACTGCGAATGTGTACACAAGATTGCGTAGAATTTTTTATTCTTAAAAAGGTAGCGAAAATTCGCCTTACCTGATGGTTATGTTATGGTATCTATGCGGAAAATACAGCATGGCCGCTTGGTGACAGATATTGCTGGGATAAAATCGATGTTTACTTTTCTGCACCTAACATTCATCTGATAACAGCTAATATTTTAGAATTTAACTATAAAACAACTGTATTTAGCGTGAGTTTTTAAGTCAGATTCGAATGGTTGATCCTAAGTGAGATTTTCTAATAATCTACTGTCTTATTGAATATCCTGAATCTCCGTAAATGACCTATGTTCAACGAGTTGCATATCAGTCACCAGTGTCAAATTGATAATGTAAATGTGGTTTTTTAATATGAATCTCACACACCCAATGATAATGGAATGATGCACCCGTCTACGCTAACGCTGACGGGGCATCAGCGAAGAATGATAAGATGAGCGTGAGGTCAGGTCAGGTAGCCCATCGTGAAAAAATCACCAAGAATTTATCATGATGGTTTCCTGGGAGAACTGTGTGGAAGTCAACATAACCTTGCTAGCAATGGAGTCATCAGTCCACATTACTAAGAATTTGAAATCCCCTTCCGCTGGGCGTATTGTCTTTGTGTTTACACTTGTTAAAAATGGTTTTGGTAACCTTGTCATCTTATTTAACTTCAATGCATATAATATACAAAATATAGTAAAGTACATTTGGCGGACTTAACACCATGCGGCATTTTCTACCAGTCAACCATAGGGGCAGTGAATAGACGTTGGCGGTGCAAATTAATAAATGATAAATAAAATGCAACAAAATAAAAACAGAACTATAAATACAATATATCTAAGGAATACAATCATATATTACACAAATATATACAAATATTATATTATACATAATATATACAAATAAATATATACATACATATATATAAAATTAATATATACCAGATAATCAATAGTCTGACAGTCATTAAAGAGAGTAGAATAGAAAAAATAATGAAAGAAAGAGAAATGGAAGTGAGCAGTAAAAAGCTATATAATAACGTTATAAATACGAGTACGTCGAATCTAGACGACATTGGATATTTTATAACACATTTGGGGGTAGACTGAAAAAACTTGCTTGACTCTTGTACTTAGTCTCACTTTTTTGAATTGCCAAGCTTTGAAAGCCAAGTTTCGATTAAAGAGTATGTTTAGGCAATGAAGTACAGGATAAGAGGCATGACATCTCAGTCCTGGAATGGCAACGTGAGTGTTATCACAGGTGTAACATGATAACGTGAAGTCTGTAGTACTGTTCATGTATATAGGTTATCGCTTACCATCATTTGGGTCATCTCCCTAGTAGAATAATAATGTTTCAATACAATTCACATAGCTCCATTTAGCCCCAAATTAGCAGACCTTGTGGATACTAAACACTGAGATAAATACAAAGATACTTTTTTTTGTAATGACATAATATACATATTAAATATTAAAACCGTTACAAACAATTGTACTCATAAATATAAAAGTTTGTGCCGTGCAAGGAATCGAACCTGCAACCAACGTTTCAGTCACATACAAAATAAAAGTAAAACTCTCCAGTCTAACTTTTATTCACTGTAATAACACGCACAATTTAGACTTGAGAATTCTAGTAGCTTCAACATAACTCAATTATCCAAATAAAAAATACAAATAAATTCAATATTCATAATAAACGGGCACATTCTGTGTTTATTTCTTTATTTGAACGCGATACTTTTAATAATGCGGGTATTTATTAAGAACAAACATACATACTGTATGTTTACCTTCTATCCGCATCGTTTGTATATCAACGCACTAAAATAAATAATCATAATAGGTGCAGGTTCTTATTTTATTGTAACTAGGGGTCGCTACTTGTTCGAAATTCGACTATAATTCATTTACATTATAAGATTGAATATTATTATAGCTATTTTATCAAAGTATGAAGAAATGTATATAATTATATGTGTATGTTAAAAGCATCAGTGTGTGTAATTTTGTTTTATTAATATATTACTTACGCATTTTTTTTTGGGTGATTATGGAATGGTGCACCCGCCTGCGCTAACGGTATACGCTGGCGGGGCACCAGTGGAAGATGATAAGATGAGCATGAGGTCAGATCAGTTAGCCCATCGTGACAAATTCACGAAGAATTTATCACAATGGTTTCCAGGGGGAACCGCGTGGAGGTCAACCTGACTGACGATCTCATTGCATATATTGTTAGCAATGAAATCGTCAGTCCACATTACTAACAATCCCCATTCTCCCCTTTCTTACGCATTAGTATAAATAATATATCATTCTCCTCTCCATCTATAAACCATATTCTCTATATAAAATTCAACTATGCCAAAAGGTATACTAGTCATACGGATGGGGTAGACTGACGTCATAGTAATGGCATCACGTGACATCATTTCGCATAATAGATATGACAACGTGCCAGAGAGCCTACTGCCTTCTTCCAAGTCTAATTGACTTGTTATCGGTGTTTTCCAAAACCGGACAGTTAGTCGAA